AAAAAAATTCTAAATGTGTTAGCATTACTAAATAACAATAATTGTGGTTTCAAATACTGTACAGGTACTCAAAGTACTGTTCTTCATCAGGGAAATTTCATAGATATAGTTGGTACTACAATGATTATTTATGACAGTTCATGTCAGATGAGGGAGAGCACAGTCAGAGTGATATGTTCTTAGTAAGCTTTCATAGGCTTACTTGTGTTTTCCACAATCGCTGATCTATGTGAAAAGATGGAGTGTACTCACGGCTGCCAGTGTCCCCACTGGCCATCAACTTTTTCCAAGACAGTTTTCAAGACGCACTCCCCTCTCTGGCACCATCGTCCAGCTTTGCATGGTGTACCATCTGCCCAGGGCATATACTGCGTGCGACAGCCTGCCTGTTCCCCCATATCTGTGGTGCACCACAGCCTCTTACATACTGGCTATGGGAAATGCAATTTGACCACTAAGACATATTACATAATAGGGGAGACAGGGGAAGAATCTCAACATTTAATAAATAAATAATGAAAATATAATCAAGTATAATAGCTACTAAAATTTTTTTAAACCTTTTTAGTCCACACCAAAATTACCTCTAAACACAGTAAGTAACAAGCCAAAATAATTTTGGTCCATCAAAAGGCATAATTTTTGTCACATTAAATCCCTTCATCTCTAAGAAAAGTATTACACTTAAAACTGCAAGTATCCTGTAATGATTCAAGGACTTAACTTCGACGGCACTGCTTGATTTAACCCTTTTGCTGCAAATTATTTTCTAACCACTTTCCTGAAATAATGTAGTTGTGAGGTACAAATATGGAAAATGTTCAACATTTTTTTAATGTAAAATAACACTTCGATACAACTTCAAATGCTTGAGAGAATGTAGCAACAAAAGGATAGCATTTCTTGATGAGAGCTATAGTCGAATGTCATGCTATAAACTCATAAACATTTGTTAAACTTCAATCAAATATCATAGCAATAGGGTTAAAATAGGTCTATCAATAATTACATGCTAATTATTTTCCAAATTTATGAATGTAACACAATTTCAGAGACTTACATAAAATCACCTGAGGAGTTATAAGGCTGGTCATATATTTGGGTGTAAAGGAAAGCATCAGATCCGCATTAAACTCACCATGTAAGAGCATATTTTGGAATTGTCACCGAACACAAGCTGGCATTGTCTGTCCTCTGTGAAGCTCTCCCCTGGCAGACTCTGACCACGTTCTTGCTCCTTCGTAATTAAGTCCTGGGGTGGTGCATCCAGCAGACAATGGCCGTTCCCAGCACTTTCATCATTACAGTCATAACACTACATTAGAACTACTGCAACTTCACACCTGATATATTCATATTTATTTATACAATTACGAGTTATTAAATGGTTTCCTCTGAAACCTCAAAACCTCCAGACTCTGTTCTTTGTCAAAATTATTTCCTGCAAATTAAATTATGGGATTTTTGCAACTGATCCTAATTTCTCAATTTCTTAGCCACCAATATTGAATTTCTTTCTTTAAAGCATCCATTTAAATTAATTCTCGACGCCAAATAGTTTTAGGAAAACCACAAAATATGATATAATAGATCAAAGAGGATGGAATCTGTTCAGTTATCATTTATCTGCACATGTGAACTTTGTATTCATTTAAATGATAAAAAAAGAAAACAAATACGTACTCTAAACATATGACACGACAGACAATTTATTTTCAAAACTAACTTGTTCTGTATTGTAACATTCAGGCTCTGCTTTGCGTTAGCTCCTGACTAGCATCACAATGAACACATAAATTATGATAATAGCATTCATTCAACTCTAAACTTGAGCAGAGGCAGGATGCCGAAGGTGGAATGAGGTTTGACAGGAATTCATTTGCCAAATATAGACTGCACTTCTTGAAGCCAACTTTTAACATTCTTACCAGAACAGAGTTGTTCATTATGCATCACATGCTACTCTGTGTTCTACAGCAGAAATGAAAATGTTATGAAAACCAATTATGTAATTTTGATTAAAGTTTTTTTTTCAAAAAGACAATGACAAAGGGAAAATGTATGTTTTCCTACTGCATTTCATAAATATTGCAAAAGCAAAAATCATATGAGATACCACAGGCACCTGGACAAGATCATAAACAATATCTAATTGTTTCTGCATTGCAATAAAGCACCATGTTTCCAACATATTTACATGCAGCACTACGATCTACCCTACTTACTTATATATAAAATCTGTACAAAGATATATATATCCACTCTGAAAATCAATACAGCTTAATTTTGCACCTTTGATATTATTAAAATTAATTCCAAGTTTAAGTATCTTGTAGAATAATTTCCATCACCAGAGCTGCACAGAACTTGTATCATGTTCCAAAAATAACAACTGAATAACACTAATTAATGTTAGAAAGATTTAAATGTTGAGATAATGGGAAAAATGGACACAACCTTCAAGACAAAATACTGGATCCCAGAAAAAGGACTGCTCTTTCATTGATTCCCCTACAATTCCATTCTCAGTATCTCCACTAATAACTAAAAAAAAGTTATTAATTGTCATTCTTCTAGTTCATCACAAAACTACTGCCAGAACTGTCTGAGAAACCCTTTCAGCCTGAGAGAAGAAATAATTATTTTTAAGGTCTTGGAGTGCACAAACTAAATAATGCAATATTTAGAAATAAAACGGAACTGTTATTACCATACAATAAATAACAGTACACACATAAAATTCTATAAAAACTGTAAATGAAATTACTTTTAGGGTAGATGCATCAAGTCAACAGTTACAATAACCAAAACCACAAACCATTCAACCAGTCTTATACAATCCTAATACAGCTAGGCTACACTTATTACATATATTGCATGAAATAAGTGTAAAAATTAAAGAATATCATAAGCGTTCAAGACTGAATATTTCATAGCTGAAAGCACAAATGTGGCACAGCTTCTATCGTAGTTGATTAATAACTAGCAGATCATGAAACCAGTTACAATGTTCCAAAGGAACAAAAAAGTAGTTTTGTCATAGTCTTTCTTAACAGTCTAAACACGTCTTTGTATACGACAGACCTACGGATGGTAGAAATAAATTAATGTAAAAAAAATATATCTGGCTTAGTGGCATGTCATATTTTAAAGAAGAATCTGACCTCCTTTATTGTAATTATTATAATTGTTGTTCTGTTCTTACGTCAACATGAATGAACTGCGTGTAATTCAGCAGTTAGGTCAGATGAAGTTGTGAGCAGACTTTAAAATATTTCAATACAGTATGATGTTACAGATTTCTCATCCAAGGAATAGACGGATTCATTTATTACGTCCACAATAAATAAATCAGTTTATTTTTATAAGTAAAAGTAGGGGAATAGTTCAACTAACTTTCCCATGAAAATGAGACAAAGGTGTAAAAGCATTTTGTGTAGTACACACTTACAATTGCAACCAAATGAAGGTTAGGTTAGGTTAGGTTAGGTTAGGTTAGGTTAGGTTAGTTAGGTTAATGTGTGTGGATAAATGATATATACTTGAAAGTTATTATATTTTATTTCAATTAATAACAAATTATTATATTTTATTTGGATATGCATGAGATGTTAATAGTTATTACTACCTGTCTCCGGAGGCCAGAATTTGTTTCTAGATTTTAGAATCGTTTTAAAAATATCGCCGTTATCATTTGTACGCCGCCACATGAACTCAGCTAAATATGAATCCAGATGAGTCCAGATATTCGACTCTCCCCTTTTGTGTCCCGATAACCCACAAGTACCGAATCCCCTTATATTTAGCTCATCTATATAAATTCCAAAGCTGAATACACATAATGTTCAATTCTGACTTCTCTAATAGCTTAAAAGATAAAAGACTCACTCTAGAAACTCTGTGACTACGTGTCTGCTACAGTTTGACCAAGCCCAAGGATATGCCTTGTGATCCAACATCCGGGACATCACATTGTGTACCTTGGAGCTGTCGCGGAAACGAACGCACTTAGGATCATCGTCGTGCGGCATGTTAAGTCTGTGAACAATAAATAGTAGTTCCTGTTAAGACTTGCATCCAATTACAGATTACACATTATGAACCCAATATAAGAAATACAATAGCGTAATTAAGAAGCTACAATTTGTTTTCTGTATGCATCATCCCACAGCTGACTCACTGTCATATAACAACATGAAGATTTCTGTCTTCTGGGTTGTTGCGCTGTGTAGTCTGGTCGATGTTTACCCACGTTTCAGAAGTAAATCGCCCTGATGACGGAGGCAGTATGACCTCTGAAACGTTGGCTAACATCAACCAGACTACACAGCGCAACGACCCACAGGACAGAAATCTTCATATTCGCCGCTGTGAAAACCTCAAATCTTACAACAACATGAAGGTTCAATACTGCCAACCCCTCGATCTGGTCCTGAGCAAAGTCAATTCTATCCTCTTCATTCTGTTCACTTACTAAATTGTTTTTAAAACAAGGAGCTTAATATCCTGATTTATTTTATACTTCCAAGTGACAGCTTGCTTCGTATTTTCTAGATACAAAGTTCACCATAATATAATTATAATATTAAATAGAGTAGCCTGACACTTCGTCATTTACATGATTAACTTCCCAGAATGCAAACATTTATGTAGCCTATAAAATATGACTAGTACACACCTACTAGAGTGATCCTTACAATCATAAGTTCGGTATGAGGTAAATACACAATACAAGTCACGAGACACGAGAAATACTTACACATGCCCCAGTTCATGAGCGATAGTGAAGGCTGCACTTAGTCCATTGTCTTGAACTATGGCACAACTTGAATTACTGTCACACATTTTACCCAATTCTGCCAGCCCGAGCGTGTCGCATTTCCTCTTTTCTGGAGTCCGGCAGATGTTTTCTCTGTAAACAGTGCACTCTTGTGAAAAAGAAGTGGCTGAAAGTAGTTACATAGACATAGACAAAAGGATAGTTTGAACATGAACAGTTTCTGAGAACAGAAAAGGGTACTTTTGGGTTATCGGGACACATCGCTTTAAAAATATGTTAGGTTAGGTTAGGTTAATATGTGTAGATAAATGACATATGCTTGAAAGTTATTATATTTTAGTTCAATAAATGACAACTAACCTAACCTAACCTATTTTTAAAGCGATGTGTCCCGATAACCCACAAGTACCCAGAAAAGCTATCCCATCATCCTCATTCTCATCATCATCCTTTAGGTTCTGTAAAAACGGATGCAAAATTTATACGAGGCGCGTCCACAAAGTAAGTTTCCCACTCGTCCCACAGCTAGCAAACCTTATATTGCGCGAAGCGACTTCCTGCAGGAGTTCAGCTGGGAGGTGTTTGATCATTCACCCTACAGCCCGGACCTCGTTCCCAGTGATTTCCATCTTTTCCTACACCTCACGAAATTCCTGTCCGGTCAGCGTCAGCGTTTTGAGAATGACAGAGAGGCGGAGATGGTTGTCACACAGTGGTTCCAATCCCAGGCGGCAGACTTCTACGACACAGGTATTCCAAAGTTGGTCCCACGGTATGACAAATGTCTCAATTCCGGTGGCGAATATGTTGAAAAATAGCTGGACACTTGCTGTATCTGTTGCAATAAATATTTCCATGAAATTGTGTTTTGTTTCTGTAAACGGCCCCAGGGAAACTTACTTTGTGGACGAGCCTCGTACATTTTTTAAATTTGCGTCTATATAAGAATAATCATCTGAATCTATCAAATGCGTATCGCATAATGAACTTCGATAGGGAAAATGTAATAAAGAGCTGAACACAGTTCTACCTAAAATTCTCCACATGGTCTTCGGACTGCTTTCAACTTCCCCCAGGCCACCTGCTAATTAAAAGCTAGAGACTAAATTCCATCACACACACGTTATTCAGTGGCATTTCAGAAAATTGGCGTCGCTCACAGCTGTATTTTGCTCTTTCTGGCCACTGCAATTTGTGTCTTTACTGACATCAAAACATGAGATGCGAGGGACTACTCCTTAAATTATAACTAACGTGACACATAATAACAGACTTGAATACAAGCAAGGTTGTATTAGTGCTCGTGTGATACTAATGCCCCCATCGGCAACCACTTTACACAAAACAAATTTATAATTTCGTAACTTTAGTTGCACGATGATCTATCACGCGGGATAGAGTGAGTCGCACGCTTCTTGTGGAATACGGCCCCAAGGCCAAGAACCTACTCGCATCGTGCAGTGTAGCAGAATGTCTGCGTGCGATGCTCAAGTACGCACCACCACACGATTCAATTTACTTCCTGCTCTCTCCCTTCAGTCCTTTTAGACAAACACAAACAAAAGACGGTGCAACTATGAAACTAGAACATTTCACACCGGTGTTTATTAATAATTCAACTAAGTTAAATGATTCATGTGCTTGACAACAACCAAACAAGGCCAACTACAGCCACGCACTAAAATAACATTACGTTCAGAAGAAAAAATAATATAACACAAACGACGTAAAGAACAAGACACAACATTACCAAAACAAAAGAGACACGATCAAGTGTGAAACCCTCAAATATAATATAATGCTAACACGACACACCCAAAAGACGTAAACACCGAAAACCGCATAGAAAATCCCTAAAAAGAACGAATAAAGCACATCTAAATAACATTTAAAAATTCAGTTATTACAGGTTCTTATTACTCAACAACTTTCGTTTCCAAAATCAATAATTATCGGGGCATTTTGAGGCTGCTTTAACTTTCGTGACCTTTCAATACCTGGTTTAATTTCTGTTACTGTGATTCGCATGCATCTCAAAGAAAATGAGAACCACGGTCAGGCTACCTATTCTGTGCCTCCGTCAAGATTCCAACGTGCCATCTTCAGAATACAAGTCAGACAGGTTACAGCTGAGCTGTCTATCGCAAAAAAGCAGGAATTCGCCAAATGACAGTAAGCCATTGTTTACAGTCAATTCGCCGGACCGGTTAAACGAGGAAGAAACGTTAAATTTGTCCTTTCCAGACCTTTTGTTCCCGAAACCATTTTTACCTCAAAACATAAATCAGAAATGCAAACAAGTCTAAAGGCCACAGACATAAAAGATCGATTTTTGTACGGAACACAAAAAAGAAAAATAACATTAAATTAGATAAGCTAGTACTGAATACAAACTATTACCAATAATTCTCATAATATTACCAGAAGTCTTGGAGAACAAACACGCAGCAATCGGGAAAGATACAAGTTCTAGGTTGGTACGCTCTTCGACAAGAACTTAGTTTCAGGTTAAATGGAGACAAACTCAACTTTTAAACTTGAACACGGAAATTGCATTGTGGGTAGAACAAACCAGACTTAAACACGCACGGAACAATAATAATAAAACATAAAAAGAATTTTGTTTGTATCAACAAAAGTAAACATGTTTCCTCACACGGGAAAATACTTACGATAAAACTATCTAATTTTAGTACAAAAATTCCACTAAATGGACACGCAGATTCATATCGATTGACATCCCCAGTTCGATTACTGGGACGCTCGATACTCGAAAACTGTTCTCGTGTGTCTTTCGTTACATGTATCGGCCGCCTTTAAGTTTTTCATTAATGGTGTAAAACTGTAGTTCGAAAATACCGAAGAAATAATCATTCATCAAACCTAAGCCTAAAAAATGCTTACGTCATCTGTAATACATATTTCTAGAAAAATACAGCATGGCACACAACCGGTTTGCAATTATAGCCGTTCAGTGTAAATAATTCTTGGGATTGTTTTATTGGATTTTTATACAGAATAAATTCCAATACCAGGACGAAATAAAAAGAAACGAAACGTCAGTTTAGACTGCTCTAACTCAACAGTGAAGTAACAACCAGCATTCCTCAACCTGCTTACTAAACCTTTCAAATAGTTTCGTATATATCACGACGAACTATCAATATTTTCATACACAGCTATTTGCAAAGTGTTGATGGAACGTGCGGTATTACATATATTATCACTGCCGTAAATTTTTGTTGTACATTCAACGGAAAATAAATTAATTTCAGTGCCCGAATCCTGTATCTAAACCAGAGTTACCGGAAACTCGATAAATGTCACAAATATATTTATAAAAAAAATTTCCAATGTCTCCAGCATGTAACATTTCGTCTACTGTATTTCTCATACACTATTTTAAACATTCAATATATGTTTCTCTCTTAACCTTTTTAAAGAATATTACTGAACAGTTAATAATTCCACACAGGTCAAATCTTCTCAAAAAATGATGCATGAGGTCGGAATAAACAGTTTCAATATATTTTTTAAAATAACGAATAAAGGTTTTGACTGTAGACGGAAAGTACATTTTCCTTCATTTTCTAAACATGGCCGAGAAAACCTACAGCACTTTTCACGTAGATCGACATGGGACATATGTAGCCTCCAAGCGAACCATTAACAACTCCGGTAATTCTACACAGAACACATGAAACTGTAATCAAGTCAGATAAACGTCTTACGCAAAGAATATATTTCCATATAACATTTGCCTAACTCCTTAATTTTCCATTACAGGAGCATAAGTGTAATATGGTAATCACTAAGGCTGGTATTGGAATTCAAGAAAAATTAATTGTCCAGAGTAATTACCATGCAGTTTAAGACAAATTCACTTGCGAAACGTGCGATAATATTTCTTCCGGTGATATTTTAGCCTAACAGACTTTGTATTTTGTCTTGTTCTGCGAGATTTCAAATCTCACAGCGATGACTACGGAGATGCAAGTCTCCTGAAATCTTGTACGGTGTAGTCCGTAGACGTTTCACAGGACTTACTACTTCGATTATCGGGGTAATGAGTAATGAGATTTAGATAGGATCACTCCTGAAACGTCGGTTAATTTCTAACAGGTCCCACGGCACCACGAAGCAGCCGGACATATGTAAATCAATATTTTCCCATCATTTAATTTAAATAAATATTTGTCACACCACAGAGCCAATTCATTGAAATAAGAAGATAAAGTTCTTGTACCGCTATAATTATTTGTTATTTTGGCAAAACTCATAAAATGAATTTTTGGTAAATAAATCAATGACTTGTTAACATAACTTCCCTAATCAAATTTATAAGTCTTAATTAGGTTTAAGTAATAAACGTCAACTATTATCATAAAATCTGTTTAAAATTCTCTTACAATCCAAGGCACAAAAACATACAAAATTTGTAGGTATTCTTGGCGTACAAAGTACAATGATTAATCATTCAAACTAATTTGCGTCTTTGCAACCTAACAGAAGTACATAACCGAACAGTGTTGATAACAGAGTTCGAAAATTTTACGAAATTTAAGTAAGCTCGTAATCAAAGCTCGGTACTGGTTAAAATTACCATGTTTTCCCGTAAAAGTTTGTGAAATTTTATTCTAATAAATCAGAGGCTTATGATAGGTGTACTAATTAAAGTGTGCATAAACAATTTTTCTACAAAACACAAAACAACGTACTTACAACTTCCACGAGTGATACAAAACTTGGTACATTCTTGCATAAAAATGTCATTACATAAAGAGTTATGGTCCCACTTTATTACATAATAGTTCTAATGTGCCCATTTGCCGCAGGATGGCAGCACTACTGCATATTTTAGAAAATCAGATTTTAATAAACATGGCCATGATTTCATAACGTAACTAGTCCGAAAATAAAGCACATGTAGACCTCTTTTGGTTAAGATGTTATCTACGCACATTCTGGAAAAAATCAGGGGAAATTAGCAAAATAGCTGAGCTACGTCGGTCGGGTAACAAGATGGATTTTGTACGCAGCCTGTTCTGTGCTGAATTTAAAGCATAACCCTGATACACAAGCGATGTGCAGACCCACTGACGCGGCGCGGCAGCCGCGCCGCGTCAGTGGTT